TGATTATATTATTGGTACTAACATTGTGAAGCTGATATTTGGATAATTTTTACACAGCTAAAGGATGTCATCTAGATACAGATATCCATGCTAATTTCCATCAGGTCCTCTGATTTATATAACCTTGCTACGCTACTGTACGCTACGCTACACATATACCACAGCTCCATAATAAAAATATGATGCATTATTACTTATTTTTAAAAAGCTATATAAATTTGTTTTCAAAACTGTCTAAACCACTATAAGGCAAATCCAACATTAAATTTGATGGCTTCTGGACGTTCAAATAGTACAATAGTAACACTAGTAACTACTTAAAAATATTTTAATGCAATAATCTTAAATTGTGATATTATAATTTTATATAAAGTTATTTAACTTATGTAAAAAAAAATGTAGTTGCCTTAGGTTCATTGTAATTTTTCAGTCATAAATAATTTGAAGAATGGTAAGAATACTATCTTAATACTAATCTTACATTACAACTTAAAGCTAATGTTACATTATTTATTGATTAAATACTGCTTGTAATAAAATTTGAATAAAATTATAAGACCTAATCATTTCTAATAGCTCTAGAAATCATTTTTAGAATGACTAGATTTCATTTGAGAAACCAAACTACTAAATGAGCAACCAACTTTTGTACATTTAAAATAATATTAACATGACATTTGTAACACTACGTTTATTTTAAGTTACTATTTAAAAGAATTTAAAAAGACATTTCAAGCAATAAAATCTATATAAGAAACACTTCCCTGGCGAATGGCGTCAATACAGAAAGTTGGTTATCCCAAACACTTGAGAAAAATAAAAATGTCACACATATGCCAAATAAAAAATTAAGTTTCAAAAAGTTTGACGAAATGTAAAAACACTTATTTATAGAATTAAAAACAAAAAAAACATTTTGATGTACTTTTTTAAAATGCAAAGTATAAAAGAAAAAAGATTAGGCAAAAGAAAAGGCAGCTCCAAACATATGATTTTCAAAACATATGATTTATTTAAATATGATTTTCAATATGATTTTTGGTATGATTTAAAATTTTTGATTTCAATGATTTTAATATGACTGCAAAAAATGATATATGATAATGATAATATAAATGATATTCAGCTCCATAACATTTCTTTTATTTAAGTATGATTTCATTTCATTTAAATTATTAGACACAAACATAAAAGATTATTAAACTTGAATTTTTCCACAGAAACATTTCACTTGTCATAATCTCCTGGCTAGCACACATTCGCTAGCACACATTTGTTGGTAAAGCAGTAGAACAATGTTAGAAACATTCCACTTTTCATAAAAAGCATGAAAAATATCAATTTGTGTCACTAATCATACAGAATGCTCTTTTGTTTTTTTGGTTAAACCTTCTTGGTTAAAACAAGATTTCAAATCTATAGATTTGGAAAAGAATTTTACTATTTTGTTATCTAATTTTCTATCTTGTGAAAAGTCAATATTTCGTTGTCGCAAATAAGTTAATATCCAATTAAGGATGAACAACCATTAAGGATTTTATTATCAACTTAACTCTTATAGTAGTTTTAAAAAAGTTTCTTTTATTTATAGTAGCTTCTTTTTGCGAGAGATAAGGGTGAACAGTAGCTTCTTTTTGCGAGAGCAGGGGAGATTGAACATTTTTTGGTTTTAAAACTCCAAACATTTGTTTATTCTTACGTCAAACAAGGATACTTTTCAAAAAATTGTGATGATTAGAGCCTAGAAACAAAAATGCCCTAAAATTTTTGCCCCCTCCTGACCCAAACCTAAAAGCAACAAGTTGATAAAATGTTTTTTGTTCTATTCTCAAATAGATTTATCATCATCGATTAATTTTAAATTTTATAGAATAATATTTTAACGTTCAAAAATTATGACCATATAATGTTTGAACCTCCTTAATTTAAAGGGGTTACAAATTTTATATGGCCATAATTTTTGAACACTGAAAGATTATAATATGAAACTTAAGTCTTTTTAACAAGTCATTTGGCAAAGCATTCCAAGCAAACAAGAAGAATTAGACTGTCTTCATTTGTTACCTTTCGATCATGCAATTATTTATCCAATATACACCGAAAGTTTTCTATTAGGTTTAAATATAAAGACTGTGCTCACCAAGACATAACTTGTATCAAATCTTTTATTTAACCTTGCTGTATTTTTAATATCCTTATTATGTTGAAAAATGCAATCACCATTAAAAAATTTTTTTTTGTACTTTCATTAAGTTAACTAAGAAGTGTTGTTCCACGTGCCATTTTTTATTCAATCAAGTCTTCCAACTTTGTGTGCACTAAAACAACCCCAAACCATAATCTTTTTGTTATGTTTAAGGGTTGCTTGCATGTTTGGGGGTTGAATTATTCCCCTATTAATTTTCAACAGTAAGATGAGCCATTATAAAACAAAAAAAAAAGACTTTTCGCTAGAAATAATTTTTGCCTATCGTTCACATATCAAGTCTTTGTACCACTGTAATCTATTTATGCAAATTCAAATTTCATAAACGATAAAAAAAAATTTTCTCTACAAAAACATGCATGCAGAAATATATATCACAAAAAAAACATAAACATGCAAAACCATTAATGAAAGTCATGCAAATGATGAATATATATGAAATCAATACTTACCAACATTTTACCATTAGTGAAAGACATACAAATGATGATTATATATAAAATCAATATTTATCAACACTTTACCATTAATGAAAGACATGCAAATGATGAATATATATAAAATCAATATTTACCAACACTTAATTTTAATGTATAAATATAATAACAGCTTGATTCCAAAAAAATTTAATGATAAATTTTCCAAAAATGTGAATAAAAACTATTCTCTTATAATAAACCAATAGAATACTTTTACATTACCAAGTAATAATAGCAAGTATTCTGAATATGGAATAACATACCGTGGACCAAAACTATAGAACACTAATTAAAAAGGAAATAGTTTAAATACAGTAAATTTGTTAAACTCCTTTAGATTTCTAATAATAAATAAAAATTTTAAATTAGATAAATAATTTTTTTTTTTTTTTTTTTTCTAAACGAACATTGAGTTCCATTTTCTTTTTTTTCTTTTTTTTCTTTTTTTATAAAATCTTTTATTTTTTTATTTTTATATTTATTTATATTCGAATTGCATGTAACTTTTTTAACAACCTTATTTCCTTTTTAACTTGTATAATTTACATTGGGGTTCTATGAAAAGATTGTGGCATCTTTAGTCATCCAAATCTTCTTTGAGCTCCTGTCTGTTTTTTATAAATCCCCTTTTTTTATGCAAACGTTTCTTTGTAATTATAGTTTCTTATTATATGAACAGCAAATGAAAAAAAAAAACATGTTTGTTAATTTGTTTTCTAGAAAAAAGTTCTCCAGATGCTTTTATTCGACAAGATATTGTCTACTTTGAGATATTTGTACGGTTCAAATTTAGTTTTATCTCTGAACATGTGATTGTTTGATCTTTTTTGACAGCATTAGGAATGTAGTCATCTCCCTTTTTAAAATTTTTAGCCTTTTTCTTGATTTAGCAAACCTACAATTTCTACGAGACTCTTCTTGGTCAGTAAATTCTTGGTCAGCTTCAATAAATCTTCCAATTTCTATATCTGTAACTATCAAAAAACTATGGAAAGAAAAAGAGGCGGTGGAAAGATTAATGGTTTTGTGGACAAAAACAAAGTGAATTCGATCATATGGTCAATTACAAGGAATTCTTGCCAATCTCAAAGACATCTCGCCAAAAAGTTTGAACGCTTTCGTTTCCTTGTCAGGAAAGCACTTAACAGCAACGGCTTGAAGGCTTACACCAAGAAAAAACTCCGAAACAATCAACTGATGGAGAATTAAAAGCAATTTGCTGTAAAAGAATCTTGTCAAACTTTTTAATCAAGAAAATTTATGCATTATTGAGGACGACGAAACGTAATCGAGTGGTACATACAAAATGGCCTTGAAATTGTCATTAAAGATGCAAACCCTTCAAAGCGCGTCATCAAGAGTTACAGGGCAATTGCATAATCTTGTTGAAAAGCAACAAATTAGCGAAAGATGACAAACAGTTTAAGCAAAAATGGATAGCAGCATCGAAAAAGATCACTAGAAAGAAGATCCAGGCCATAATTAGCAACTACTCTCAAAAAAATTTAATTACTTTGTAAGCGCCCTCTGAAATCTGTACAAACTGAATAAAAACTTAAAATGATACAACCAATTTCATAATTAAAAAATTTAGAAGTATTTTGTTAAGTATTTCTTGGGTTGCTCTTAAGTATATACAATCGAAAAGTGTTGAGCCCAAAAGATGCACTTGTCAGAAGATAATATCTTGTCGCTACCAACTATCTCACTTATAAAACGATTTTCACTATCACCATCTCATGTACAAAAGAAAACTTTTCAGATATGTAAAGACGAAACCTATATTGTAAATGTTTTTGATATTTTATATTTCTAAAGAAATTGCTTTTAAACGTGCGCAACGTGGAATTTTAGGCATTTAAAAAAATCAATTGCAGATAGATTGATTGGGCTTTAAAAAATATATATAAAAAATAAAAATGGAATCTCTAGAGATTGTCTTTGATGATATGAAGGTTGAGCAGCGAGCTTACTATGGTAATGTATTTGCGGGTAATCATTGCAAAACAGTCTTAAGAATCCACTATAAATTGTGTAACGTTATTAATGATTTAGCAATTCTGGATGGAATTTTTAATTTTATTAATTCATTATTTTTATTTATTTACATGTATTTATTGAACTTTGCATGTATTTAATGGTTTTTAATAAGTTGCAGCTAATTCTTTTCACGCGAGAATTTATTTTTAATTTAGAAATTAGTTAGCTTTGTTGTTATAAAAATTTGTTTGATTTTGAGTTTTATGCTTCTTTTTCAAACCAAAATCACTTAAAAAATGTATGTAGATGTAACTTATTTTTAATGTACCCCTGTTTATATATGGTTTAGAATAAAATAGAGGATCCTTGGTTTTTAAATGATAGAGTTTCCATCCGATATATGTTTGTGTGTTTGTATAACTATTTTTTTTAATAATATTTATTGTCTTTTATTATATGTAACATTAATTTTAAATATTAAATATTCCTAACATATCATATAATGGAGAAATAACTTTAGTGAGGCGAAGTTGTATATTAGATGCCCATTCTATTGATATCTTTAGAAGTTGATTCAAATCGACTTTTGCAGTTACATTAGGATTGCAGTTTCTTTTAGTTAAATCATAAAGTAAACTTTTTTCTCATAAAAGAATGGAATGTAAATCTAGCATTAACTAGGTGTACATAAAATCAACTAGGTGTACTTAGCGTCAACTAGGTGTACTTAGCGTCAACTAGGTGTACTTAGCATAAAATAGGTGTACAAAAATAGTTCTACTGAACTTATGACGAGTAATCGAACTGATATTAAAATTAGTTTTTTGTATATGCACATAACTAAATTTAATCGTTGCTTTAAAAACTTCTCATTTCCGTAAAACTATTCTATGACCAAAGGCAAGAATAAACTAAAAACTTATAACTAAATAAAAACTTCTATTATAGATGCAACTCTTTATTTTTTTAATTAATTTTTATACAATATTTCAAGGGAGTATACATACCCTCGTTATCAAGTATATAATATGTATATATATATATATATTATATATATATATATATATATACATATATATACATATATATATATATATATATATATGTATGGTAGAGCGCAGCTAGTTGAGCAAATTTTAATAAATCTAACAGATTTCATTAGCGGTGCGTAAGAGTTAGATAATTTTTTCAATATTTGATAATTTAACATGTTTGTTAAGAAAAAAGTAGAGTTTTTGAGAAGATATTGCCTAAAATTTGTTAAAGTTGCTCAACCTTCTCCAGCGGGGTAAGTTGAGCAATAGTGTGGGTTAAGTTGAGCAATTAACAAATAAATGAGTATGCATGATACGAAACTTGGGTGAATCATCGATAAAACTTTTACTAACAGCTTAACTTTTTATTTTATACATTTTAATGACGTAAGCAACAAAAATGTAAAAAAAATTTATTAGTAAGTCTCAAACAAACAACTGTTTAAAATTTTGAGGCCCAATTTAAAAATTATTAATTTTAACAGTATATATAAATAATGTGCTGCTAAATTATTTTTTATTAAAGTTATTTCTTTGTGTTCGAATATTTAATTTTTTTTTTTTTTTTCAAAGGTGCTTAACTTATCATAATTCCGATAAATTGGTTAATCATCAACGCTTAAGTAATGGCAGATAAAATTTATAAGCATCCAAGAGAAAAATAGCATCAAAAATATTTTTTCACTTTTTTGGTCCAAAATATTTCTTGACTGATGTTTGATTGTAAATAGTTTTCGATCAACTTAAGTTTGGAAAAAGATCTTTCACCTTGACAGTGGCTGCCAAGGCAAACTGTTAGATTCTCAATTCTGTTAATTTCTCGATTCAAAACTGTTAGGTTCTCTTCTACAATAAAAAAATTAGGAAATATTTTTATCGCATTACTTTTTTCGAGATCATATGTGAATTTGAATGCTAGAATATCAAGTGGATTTTTTGCATCAGTTTTTCGTGACAACAAACAAAGTTTAGTCATCAGTTCCTCATCAGAAATATTCTTTTCATCTTTGTCGGTTAAAATTTTTTCCAATAAATTAGAATTATCTCTCAATATATTTTTACTCATTACTGATAATAAAAATTATATAAAGTTTCTCTGCGCTAAGTAACATTTGTAATTAAAATCACGTTAGACAATTTTATATACTTTTCTAATTATTGTTAAACTTACTTATATAAAGATTTTTAAAAAATGGCGAACATATAATAACAACTGATCATAATAATATAATAAATTTAATAATAAAGTTATTATGATCATAACACTGAAAACCCCCAATTTGGAGAACAAGCAAATTCTATTAATACTAGTCAGTAACGGATTAATGGGGAGGGGTATGTATCCCCCTCACGACCAATACCACAATCACCACCAGATTCTGAAGGTCATAAAATATCTTAGAAATGGAGGACTTTTTTAGGAGACGCAAATGTAATACAAAATAATATTATAAAGTGGATAACAAAAATATATTATAAAGTTAAGTCCAGCATTTTAAATATATATTCCACTGCAGTTTTGGGTTTATTGAAAACTCTATATCACATCTGCAAAGGCATAAAAATGTATAAAATGTCTAGCTTTTCAATATATAAAATAATATAGCTGAGCATGTCAATCAATTTGAGCTGAGCTGAGATGTTAAAAACTACAAAAACTGATGTTTGTAGTTTGAACGGGGAGTTTTATTGCCTTTAGGGTTTCCAGTTTGTTTTTTTGTCATATGATTGTTTTTAAATTCAAACTGGTGGTTTTACATTTTACTTTTAAATGTAACTTTTTTTTTAAACAGATGAAAAGACTGAAAGAGCATAACTTATTAAAAACTTAAGTTTATCAACTTATCTTAACTTATCAACATAACTTAAGTTTATCAACTTATCTTAACTTTCCAACATAACTTAAGTTTATCAACTTATCTTAACTTATCAACATAACTTAAGTTTATCAACTTATCTTAACTTATCAACATAACTTAAGTTTATCAACTTACCTTAACTTTCCAACATAACTTAAGTTTATCAACTTATCTTAACTTATCAACATAACTTAAGTTTATTAACTTATTTTAACTTATCAACATAACTTAAGTTTATCAACTTATTTTAACTTATCAACATAACTTGAATTTAAAAAAAAAGAGCATAGCGTAATTAAGCTATTCTTAGCATTATTTATAAGCATTACAAGCGTTAAAATACGAGAAATTAGATTTTAGCATTTTTTAAAATAGAAAATTAGCATTTTTCTTTTACTAGGATTTGGTGTGAATAGAGAAAGAGAGTGAAGTGGTTTTAAATAGTTGTGACGAATTTGTAGTTAAGCACTTTTTCATTATCAAAGGCAAGTCAAAAATCTATGTCTGATTTTATAAGACCATTTTATAAGAATAAATGTCCAATTCCAACACGTCCTCTTCGTGAAATTTGTTTCAGAGGAGACTCAAGTGGCATTGTATTTCATCGTGATTTGTGGAATGGATTATTGTTGAAAACTAATTTAAAAAATAATAGGAAAAACACTATAAATAGTGAGATCTCCATTCTGTATAATGCAAAACTTTGCATCTCTGTGGCAAAGTACAGAGATTTACAAGTATTAAAAAGGTTTACATCGAATGCTCAGTTTTACGATTCTTTGCCATACAATCAGGAGGTTATTGAGACGTTTCATGAAATTATTGATTCTGAAAATGAATAGTAAATAGACTTCTTTTTTGATTTAAAGTTTTTTTTTAGTTATTTTTTTCTTAGTGTTTTTTGAAAAAATCTATAATCTTTAATATGTTTCTTCTTTGCACTTAATATACAACAATTTATATAATTAATAATCCCAAGGTATTGAATATATCTTTTGACTATTAGTCAGGGTATGAAAATAAAAGTTCACATCAAATAAGTTTTGAGTTGTTTGAAAAACTATAAAGTTTTAAATCCCCTTTATTATCAGGAAAGAAACTTTGCATTAAATAACTTTTTGCTTACAGTTTTGTGACACCTATATAGGTATAGTTATATAGGTATTTAATAGGTTAACCTTTAAATAAAAAACAAATTGAACTTTTTTATCAACAGTGATATTTTTGAATGAAAGATTTATAATAAAAATTAAAGTCATTCGTAAACGAGAACTAGAACTAATACTATAACTATTTTCTATACAAAATATCTACAGACAACTCTTGATATCTCGAACCTGCAAGGGACCGATTAATTAGTTTGAGATTAAAGAATTTTCGAGTTATCGAGAGTATAATCCATAAATAAGGGTTCTACTGGATTCAAAAAAGTTTGAGATATAAAATATTAAAGATATTGAAAGTTGACTGTAAGTGATTTTTTTGTGTACGAAAAAAGAACAAAAATGAAACCTTTTGTTAACGAAAACTATAATTATTTTCTAAACGAAAATATCAACACTAAACAGTATTTTTAATTTTAGTTCAACCCCCTAATCTTTTAAATGATCAGTATTAGGTCTTGGTGGTTAGGTTGTTTGATAAAATTAGCTTCTGCCTAATTTAATTTATAAGCTAATAAAAAATAATTCATATTTTAGCTTTTTACATGATCTAAAAACTAATAAAATAAAATAAAACATTTTACCGGGGAAAAACGGTCCACAAAAAACCTCACTTAAAAAAGAAAGTCTATCACGTAAATTTTTATTTTTAAATTAGAAATGCAACTTTAATTGCATAAAAAATTGGTTATTTTTGTAATATATCTTAAAAATTTTAATCTTTTCCCTAAAAATAAAAAAGTTATATAGGTTTAAAAGTTTAAAAATGAGTTATCGCAAAATGAAAAAATGTGACCCTGCCTTTTCTTCCTGTGGAGTCTTCATTTCAGAGATGGTTTTTTAAAAATGTTATTGAATTAGTTAGTGAATTAATTAGTAGATAAGTGAAGAAAGATTTTAATCGATGTGATCACATAATTCAGTTGATATAAAATACCAAACCAAAAAATGAAAAACTATAACTAAAAGACTTTAATTAAATAATGAAAGTTTTCATTTTTTAATTAATGGAATTGTCCATTAATTAAATAATGAAAACCTTCACAATAAATAAAACAAAAAAACGTTTTCCTGCGTAGTGTCTTAATTTAAATAAAAAATCATAATAGCCGGGATTCAATTTAATGAAAATCGCAGCGTAAAATAGCTTAAAATCTGCGTCTTATGTTTTTAAAATTTTTTTGCGTTGCGTAATTTATGGACGACTCCTTTCCGTAATATCAGTAATTGATCAAAATTTCGAAAGTATCTGACATAAAAGGCTTGTCAATATTTTTATTGACGAAGCACATGTACTACTTGAAGTTGAGTTTGCGGTAAGATTTGATAAGTTATTTAACTTTTCAGCTAAAAATGTCGAAACTTTTAAAGAAATAGCATTTGTGGGTTCTAAATCGAACAAATTTATTATTGTTTTAAATTTTTTTAGATTAGTGCTTTTTTTCTTGTTGACTTTTTTATATAATATTTACTGATGTTGGAATGCATTCCAAAAAATTTTTGCAAAAATTGAGAAATTAATTTCACAAGCAAGTTACAGGGAAAATCCCTAAAATCGCTTGGAAAATCCCAATTCTCAAGAAGAGACATTTTCGGAGCTAAATAAATAAACTAACTATAAATATACTAATAACGGCAATTTTATTTCAAGTTTTACGCAATTATTAAATTAGAATTTTTTTTTTTTTTCTATTAGTTTTTAATAATATTTAATTTTCAATAATTTTCAGAGCTATATTTTAATTTGGCAAAATTTATTTCGAGTATGGGATTTTTTCACCTTTAAATTGGGAATTTTAACTTTATGAGCATTTGGGAATACCGCGTTTGACGGGGCGCCACAGGGCTAGTTTACACCCTGTATATATACAGTGGGGTGCAAAAAAAAAGCCACACTAATTTTTTTTTATATTTTAAGCATAAAATGTATAACAATGCAAAACAAAAAAAATTGGATGTGGCAGTGAAAAATATAGAGCAGAAAAGGTATGTTTATATATAAACTAATATTTATATAAATAAAATCTTTAAAAAACAGATTATCATGGACACATTTAATATTTTAGAAAACATCTTACAGATGTAGACATTGGACGAATTATTGAAGCTGCTGACCAAGGAGAGTCTCACAGAAGCATTGGAAAGCGTTTTAAACGAGAAAACTCAACTATTAGTAGATTGGTAAAGAAATACAAGCACACTGGTAAAACTGAAAAAGCTGTTGGATCTGGGAGAAAACCGAAAACTTCAAAAAAGGATGATCGCTACATTCTTAATGCTGTCAAAAAAAAACGTAAAATCACTTGTTCTGAGATAAAACTAGATTTGAACCATACTAATATCCAAAGTGGACAATATCTCGCATCATTAAATCATCAAGTGATTTTTTAAATCAAGCAAATTAAAAAACCTTTTATTAGTGAAATCAATCGAAAAAAGCGTGTAAAGTGGTGCATTGAGCACAAAGATTGGACATGTGAACAATGGGCTAACGTTATCTGGAGCGATGAGTCTCCATTTGTTTTGTATTATAATTGTCGATCTCACTGTTGGAAATTAATTGGGTAAAAATTCAATCCTCAAACATGCAAGGCAACTATTAAACATGACAAAAAGATTAATGTCTGGGGTTGTTTTAGTGCACACAAAGTTGGAAAACTTTACCGGGTGAAGGGCATTATGGACCAGCATTTGTATCACAAAATCTTAGTTAACCAGCTTGGACCAAGTATAAAAGAACTTTTTCCTAATGGTGACTATGCCTTTCAACAGGAAAATGATCCCAAACATACAGCACGGTTGAATAATAATTTATCTAGAATCTAAATTGATTCCAGTTATGTCTTGGCCAGCACAAGTTGGATTTAAATCAGTCTCCTGATTTAAATCCAATAGAAAACCTTTGTTCTATTTTGGATAAAAAATTTCAAGATCGTAGGGCAACAAATGAAGATGATCTGTTTCAAATTCTTCTAGATGGTTGGAATGCTTTGCCATATTACTTATTAAAAAGACTTGTAGATAGTATGCCTTCTAGATGTGCGGAAGTCATAAGAAACAAAGGATGGCCAATTAAATACTAAAATAGCTTTAACCTAAAAAATACTTTACACATCCTAATTTCTTTTTATTATATGTAATATACAATTATATTATAAACATTTTTATTCATTTGCACTGTATATATATATATATATATATATATATATATATATATATATATATATATATATATATATATATATATATATATATATATATATATATATATATATATATATATATATATATATTTATATATGTATATATATATATATATATATGTTATACATATATTATATTATAGACGATCGTTCCATTTACCAGCCGCAAACTTAACTTATGCTTAAGACAATTACGCTTACAGACGCTATTCATATGGAATTTTTATATTTGTGTAATTTTAGATGACATATTTTTATATGTCATCTTGTTTTCAAGGGGCTCCAAGAAGACTTATCGATCTTATCGCAGAGCACCGCGGAGGAGCATTTAAATAGATCGCTCCTCCTTTCTTACAAATGTTGCTTATTAAGCTAGAGCCTTTGTCGTACCACGAACCTCTTCTAAGCCAGAACTCTAACCAATGCGCCATTATTAGATTTAAGGTTTATATTTTACAAAATATAAACCTTTTTTAAAAAATATGCAACAGAATTGAAAATGAAAAACGCGCTTTAGTCAAGCCAAATCATATACTATGGATATTTTTTTTACTTATTTAAATTCTAGTGATATAGTTTTACTAAAAATAAAATTTTACTTTCCAGTATTAAATTCAGCAATAATATATAAAATGTAGTTGACATATATGCATATAATCACAATATTAACATCCTACGCAGTTATAATAGTATCTAGTTGTCAATGACGCTGTTTGTAAAAGTTATATCAAAATATTTTGAGTATACCAATTATTTTATTTTCAAAAAAAGTTTTAGCATGATAGATGCAACAAAAATATCAAACTTTGACAACTTAACTATTTATTAAATAATTAAATTGTTTATCCTCAAAATTTGATATTTTCTAATAAATAATAAATTTTATTTTAAACTTTTGTTTCAAAATGATTTTTTCGTCTAAGGCATTGAAAATTAATTTTTAACTTTAGTATTGAATTCGAAAGAACTAATTTATTCAATTTTTTTTTTGATTTTATTTGATTTTATTTAATAAACAAACACTAAATTCTAACTTAGTTAAATATTCAAAAGTTTGGCAATAAATCAAAAATTGACTTTGATATCAAATTTATAATATTAATTAATAATTAAATTGCTCGTTAACTTTAAAAACGATAAAATATTTTTACAAACGAGAAAATATTTTTGATTTCTTTCCCTGGCGGGAGGTAAATAGTTTAGCGGCTGCAGCTGCAAGCTAATATTTCTTCTGGAGGCAGCTACTAAAGGCTTTCACCTTCGTATTGGTATTGGTCTCTAAAACGTTTTGCCTCCAGAAAAAACCCTTTCTGCGACCGCTAATAGAAAGGCAGAAGACACTGAAAGAGGAAGATATTTTGCTTCTAAAAAATTATTGAGAGTAGACCATCTAACTTGACTATTCGAATACTTGATATTCGAATATATTTGCATGTTTTTTTGACTATTTGATATTCGAATATTTGGAAAAAATATTCGAATAATTTCAAAAATGTAAATCACACTAAGCTTTGAAAAAAGTACGGTTAATTTCTCTCTTCTTACAAGAAAAAACAATTAAACCCTGAAATAAAAAACAAATCTAAGAATTTTTATATAGAATATAGCCTTGACGTGGGAAAATTGCATTTTTGTATGGTTTTAATTTTGTGCGACATTATTTTTGTTAGTTATTAGAAAGCAGTCGGTTATTTAAATTGCTTAGCAAATATTCGTAAATTTTATTGTAAAAATTCATTTCATTTAAAATAATAAAAACAATATAATCAATAATTTTTAATATTACAATTTGTGCTTGCATACTTCTATAATAATAATTATAATAAGAATAAGAATAATACTTCAGGTAAATTAAAATTTGTTAGATTTTCTTACATACATAAATACCTCTTTGGTTTTTTTAGCCATGTCAAAAAAATCCGAGGTATGGAAGTTTTTTAAGAAAGATGAAAAAAAATTTGGTGAAGCCACTTGTGGTACGTGCAACAAGAACATTGGATGGAAAAGTTCAACCACTGCTATGATTAACCATTTAAAGCTACGACACAACATATTGATATCTAAATCGGTATCAAGTGAAATTGATGGAGAAAATAATATTCCTAAGAAAAAACAAAAAACTGAAACAAGTACTATTTGGCAATTTGTAAAAAAAGAATCTTTAAATGAAATATTGTCAAAAGTCGCAGCTGTTGATGGAATGGCGATCACGGCAGTTAGTAAATCTCAAGCTATAGCTGGTTATGTGCAACAAAAGGGTTATAAAATGCCAAAAAGTCCGACAACTATTTCAAAATGTATCAACAGCTTTTATAAAGAAAAATTTATTGAACTGCGGGACAAATTTCAAAAATTAAAAACAGCAAATCGTATATTTGCTATTACAGTGGATGAATGGACAGATTGCTCTATTTTACGTAATGTAAACGTAACAGCTCATGTACTTGGAATAAACTCAAATACAATTGAAAGCCATGTTTTGGGTTTGACGGAAATAATTCAGCAGGAAATGCTGAAACAATTAAACATTTAGTTGAAGCTAAGTTGGCAGACTTTGGGATTCTCTTAAAAAATGATGTTATTGCATCAACTAACGACGCAGCAGCCGTAATGAAAAAATATGGCAATATATTAGGTGTATTAAATCAACTTTGCCATAATCACGCGCTCCATTTAGCTGTCATGGATTGTTTTTATATAAAAAATGTTATTCCCAATGAAGTGTTTGACGATACCGAAGAGTTTACTGATGAAGAAATGGAAGAAGAAGATTCCATAGAAGATCAGTGCTCTGAATACAATTTGGAGTTTATTAACGAAAATAAAAATGTAATGACATTGGATATTGGTTTTGACCAAATTATTAACAGGTATAGCTCAAAAAATGGGAAAAAAACTTAAGTTCAAATTAGACATGAAAACTCGATGGAGTTCTTTGAGTGTAATGATTCGACGTTTTTTAATTCTATCAGAATGTATTAACAAATCCTTAATCGAATCGAATTTTGATCCAATTGCTGAAAATAATATTTGTGCGCTACAAAACCTTGTTGACGTTCTCGCACCAGTTGAAACTGCTGTTACTGAATTGAGTAAAAATGATTTAAATCTCATAACAGATGAAGGAGTATAAAAATCTTTGTTTAAAAAGTTGCTACCAATGCAAACAGATATAGCAAAAAAACTTTTATATGCTATCCAAAAAAGGATGGATGAAAGAAGAGATCCAGGTTTAATGACACTAATCATTTACCTACAAAGTGGAAATATACCAAGTTCCAATGATTATTTTAAATATTTGTCAAAAAATGTAGCAATTTCATTCGCTGTTAAAATTATGGAACATATATATCTACAAACGTTCATAGAAGAGCATATTAATAGTAATTCTACCTCATCTTCATCTGATGCAGATGATTTAATAGAATTAACACCACAAGTTGGACTGCAAAAAGAACTCCAAAAAGAACTGCAAAAAGAACTCCAAAATGCAATAAGTTCTATTACAGCTCCAAAAAACTGTCATGTTCGCAATACCAGGCAAATTGATAAATATAATGAACTAAAGAAAGCATTTCATCAGTTTGATTCTTTCAAAAAACGATCGGATACGCTGGACGTTTTGTATAATGCTCTTATAACAATACGGCCTACTTCAACAGCTTCTGAAAGATTATTCTCAACAGCAGGCGCAATCAAAACAAAAAGACGAACCAGTTTAAATCATGAAACATTTAATTCAATTTTATGTTTAAAATATATGTTTTTATGTTTAAAATATATGTTTTTATGTTTAAAATATATGTTTTTATGTTTAAAATATATGTTTTTATGTTTAAAATATATGTTTTTATGTTTAAAATATATGTTTTTATGTTTAAAATATATGTTTTTATGTTTAAAATATATGTTTTTATGTTTAAAATATATGCTTTTAGAAAAAAAAAATGTTTTAAATAATAAAATAGTTTAAAACTAAACGCTTTTCTTTATTAAAATATAACTATTTTTCTTTTTGTTAATATGTCTTTATACTTTTGATAAATTATTCGAGTATTCTATTACTCGAATATTTTAGGATTTTTCTATTTGATATTCGAATAGTTGAAAAGCTCGAATATTTGGATGGTCTAATTGAGAGGCAGCCTGTTGCGGAAGAAAGGTTGAGGCGAAAAAATATACGCCATTCACCAACACTGATCTATTCCATCAGTTTCAAAACCTATGGTCCCGTTGTTTAAACGCTGTGCTACGTTTTAAAAGAAAAGATAATGAAAATTATTTGAGCAGAGGACATGAATATTACCTTTGAAATTTTTGAATAATGTAGGGTTTATACTTTTCTTTATTGTTGTGCAAATAATAGAGTTATGTTGTCACTCATTGCATGTATGCTATAGTATGATATAAAATCCGTTTAATTAGTGTAAAACAAGCAAGAGAGAAACATATTCGCCTCATCTTTACTGCAAGCAGGGCCGTAAAAGCATTTGAATAATAAGTAAATAAGCATTTGAGTTAGAACATTGAGCAATTTCTGAACTATAGTTGGCAAATGGAATCTCTTCGGGACGGCCCTAATTGCTAGCAACATATTTTTAGTCTAGGTCAACAAAAGCGTTGCAAATTTTTATTGGCATAGTTAAGTCCATATGCAAAAGTTATTTATACAAACAAAAAATATTAATGCAATAAAATGTATCTTTGGACGATAAGCGATTATGCCAATTAAATTTATTATATTTTACGAACAGGAACTACAAAACATAAAGGTTTATAGTTTCCCGTTTGTAACATACTCACGAGAAAAAGTTAAAACATAACGTTTACACCAAAAATTCATAATTATCAAATTCTAGTAAAATTTGTTTTAAACATAAAGAGTGTGAACGTATTGTTGGATTTCCCTAATAAATCAAAAGCGTCCAGACATTTTACATTCAGTCATTTAATGGGTCGTAGTTTATAAAAACGTGGTTGTTTAAAGATTGCCAAATAACATACATAAAAAAGCCATTTCCGTTTTTTTCTTATAAATTGAAACTCAGGCCTTATCCAACCATTGCATAAAGAGTTAAAACTAAACACTGATCATAAAAGGTAAAAACATTACAAGATTTTATATGAATATTTTCAATTTGCAAATACTTTCAAAAATATATATAAAAAATACAATTTTTAACATGCAGCTGTATTTGATTTCGTTTATTAGAGAAATTTGGAATGGCGCAAAAAATGGTTCTACTTTTGTTACTAACTTTAGTAGCACATAAAATGTCTGCCAACGTAATCAGAAGAGATACTTTACAGAGTAACTTTATGAAATATTATTAATATTTTTTTTTTTCAATTTTTTTTAGAGTTTAAAATTTATAAACATGATATATGTAACCTTTAGACATTTACTTTATAGCTTTGTTTGAACTAAATTCTGCATCTGAAAATAACTTTAACCAATCATCAATCATTCAAGCACCAACGCCTACAACATTTGATGCCACAATCACAATGCTTCCAGAAAATGTTCCAACGGAAAGTTTTTTGGTCGAAACCACTAAGTCAATTTTTTCTTTAAATGAACCCATGATAATGGAAACTTTTACAACCTCAACTCAAACCAATTTAATCTCAAAAAATCTAATTTTACCAGAATCATCTGAATCTGTATCAATTTGTAATGTTAAAAACTGTCTTTTACCATCATGCAGATGCGCGGGAACAGATATACCTGGTGGATTGTCGAAAGTTAACACCCCGCAAATAATCTTATTTACCATGGATGACGGAGTTACACCAGAAAACTATCAGCTTTACAGTGAGTTACTTGATGGCTTGACTAACTTTAATGGGTGTCCAATCAAAGCAACGTTTTTCGTATCTGGTGATAATTCCGACTACGCTTACGTAAAGAAATTGCAACAGAGCGGTAAGTAAACTTTACAGTTTTGAAATTAAGTACTTTCACGCTCATAATTCTTAAAAACTTTACTGTAATAAGGTCAGGAAAAAAAGGAAGATTTATAATTACTATCAAAGGAAAAGTATCCCCTCAAGTTTTATAATAAGCTTTCGTTTTATATATAAAGTTAGAAGTTCATATATAAACATCATACTTATATAGTATCGTTGTGTTTAAACGCGAATGTTTTGTACCATTCAAGTCTATTTTATCTTTAATTTAAAATGCACACCTAATAAGCGCTACGATCTGTGTTTTTCTCATCTTCTTTTTTCTTAGTCCACGAAAACTACGTTATACTTATGGATCCCTTTATATTTAATAGGTCATGAAATAGCAGATCATTCGGCAACTCACAGATTACCAGAAGAATGGTGGAGTAAAATAGTAAGTTTCACAAATATATTAATTTTTCAGATCATTATATCAAGTGAACGTATTTAAAGCTTTTTTATTTTGTAAGTAAAAGAATCTCAAACAAAAGTTTAAGTCAGTGTTGTTAACTTACTAGCAAGTTTTATTATTCATTTTAAGGCCGCTTTAGAAGACCTAGAAAAAGAAATTTTAACACAAAAAAGTACTATTCAGCAAGAAGTTGGAACAACTACACTTGGGTGGAGAAACCCATTTCTTGCAAGCCAAGAAAATACGTTTAAAGTGTTAGCTGAAAATCAGTTTTTGTATGACAGTTCGTTGGGAACCACTCCGGGTACGCGATGGTGGCCATATACATTGGATTACTTACCTTCCTTACCGTGCTACATGACTAACTGCCCATCATGTAACAACTTTGTATATGTTATAGTGTTATTTTTATTGAGTCATGATTACTTTTTATTTTTAAGTTGTCATTTTTTATTTTATTGAGTTCTTATATTTTACTTTTTATTTGAGTTATCGTATTCTGATGCGTTTAAATATTATAGTTTTCATTTAGTTACGTATCCTGGAATTTGGGAAATCCCGTTGGTTACACTGCAATGCGACGAATCAGCTACCACGTTTGCTACAATGCTCGATGAATGTACAAACTTAGTAACTGAAGAAAGTACGTATAACATGTTAATGACCAACTTTAAGCTTCACTACGAGGATAATAAGCAGCCTTTTCCCATGTTTGGCCATTCGACTTGGTTCGATAATGCATCTTACCGTAAAGATGGTATGTTCATTACAAGTTATTAAATTTTAGATTTAACTTATGAATAAAAACGTTTACGTTTCTTGAAATATGATTTTTAATTATTTAAGAAAAAATTTTCTTTTGTTTTAGCTGTCATAAGGTTTATGAACGATGTTCGAAAGTTCAACGACGTATACTTTGTCACTGCCCAACAAGCAATTGAATGGATAAAATCACCGGTCGGTCTTGACAATAAGCCTTTTTCGTGTAATTTATAAATGTCACTTTTACAGCATTACAATTTTTTGAAACAAGTTTTAAATGTAAATAATAATTACTTCAATAATATTTCTCATCACTAGAAATTTTTTGTTACTTTATATCCACGTACTTTTGGTTGTATTTGTCAACACTTAAGAAAAAAAAAATTTTTAACTGAAGGGGACTAAGAGAAGATGCAGGAAAACAAAAAAGAAATTTTTTTCTTGAAGTAATTTTTTCTGTTTTTTGTCCTTACGTTTAAGAAACACAAAACAATGGTGTCGAATGGTATCGTGAAAAGGTTTCCGTGTTTAATATATTTCTTTAACACGCAAACGCTAAACACAAACTTTTGATTTTCGCGTGCTTAATACATAAGAGGGAAAAGGGGTAAAAGAGGAGGTGGTATTTTTAGCCCAAATTTAATAAAAGGGGGAGGGATCTTAATATGCGGATGGGTAAAAATTTTTAACAGAACACAAATAAATAATTTAAAGGGGTAGATCCCCTTTTTTTTGACATTTTCTCAAAATGATATTTTTTTTTATTGGTTCTTATAAAAAATTTATCAACGGAACTTGAATTTTACTTCTAAAATAATAATTTTTTATTGTAAAACACTCAATTTAGCCATTTTCGTGTTAATATAAAAAAAAATCAAACTTTTTCGTAAAAGTTTTCTGCTATTCAACTTTTTCTTTTTTTCCTTAGATCTAAGGATCTATTGATTAGATCTATTAAACTTATTGTCTTCTTATCTTTCTAACTGCTTAAATACTTCTTGTTTACATTACGTAACGCACCTGGAGCTTATTATTTTTGTTTTACGCAAAGTTACTTTTATTTTTATACAAGTTTTTAAACAATCGTTTTCTCTGAATCTACATTTTCATACTTGGTACAAAGATATCTCAAGTTTTACCTAGTCTAAGCGACTTGAATTTTTTACAATATGTTTAATATACTAGTATCAACAAAATGTACCAAAATCAGCATTAATCTGCAAAGAAAAAACAGCTATTGGAAGTTAAGTTTTTTTTTATCATTAAATTGATACACTTTAAGAAAATTACCATAAATTTTTAAATAAAATATTTCTTTTTACCATTTTGGTACATTTTTTTTTTTTTTTTTGAATTTTCATGCTATATTTTTCTATACAATGTTCTTATATCCGAAGATATTGTTGGCTTAGCATAGGAACTGCCACAAATAGTCATTTAGACTAATCCAAAGTAGCGTCCGTTATTGACCAACATTTTTGTTAACATGTTAACACCCATGTACAAATGCTTCCAGCAAAATTTGATACCAATGACTATATAGAGTTATCTTTGTACTATCGTAGGGTCTTTTTTTGCCTTTTTACCCCAATTATTAATGCCATGTTAATTTTTTTATTATTTTTAATTTTTTTTATAGTTTTTCAATACAAAAAAAAAATATTTAAAATAGTAAAAAACTTTATACAGTACATTTAACAAAAAATAGTTTGAATGGGGATCTACCACCTTTATTTTAAAGTAGCCTTTTTTTATAACTGTTTCAATATAATTCATTAAAATTTAATATCCTTACTTTTGTACTATAGTTAATAAACTAAAGCCTAAATTTTGACAAATCAAAATTTTTTAAAAGTTGACGATTTTTAAAGCCTTATAAGACTGAAAGTTTTTATCAGTGGCTGATATTTTTACTGATTTTTTATTTCAGTTTTGAGATGTTGTTTTTTTGTTGACAACATGTAAAAATAATTAAAATTGAGAAATGGGGGGAGGGGGGTTCTTAACAAGTATATGGTGGGGTGGGGAAAGTTATTAAACGTCCCCTCCTGTGTATTAAGCACCTAATATTACTTTCAAGGAAACAAGTTTTGTTCAAAAATGATTTGAATGAAATTTTTTTTGTAACTTACCTGTTTCTATTTTGTCACGTTACTAAATTTAATGTGGAATTCCCCTCAGAAATATGAAAATTTTGAAGAAAAAAATTATTTTCTTATTTTGTGCAAAATTAATCTCAAAACCATTTTTAAAAATTTGCCATAGATTTTTATTAAACTAGAATTTATTGAGCCCTAGAAATTTTAACTTCCACAACGACCGCCATAGCAACAGCACTTTTTTTAATCTAACTAAAAAATCCTTCTAAAATCTTATTTTTCTGTTTGAAAAATATACTATAAAAAAAGAATTTTATTTTCTATTGTTTAAAACTATTTTAGAATAAAAAGCAATCACTGGAATGCCCAATTTTAATCTTTTAAAATGGTTAAAGCTGGTAGAGTTAAAGCTGGAAACATTTAAACTTTAATGATAACGCTAATAATCTTTTTGAAAATTTTTTTAAAACATTTTTTTCGGTTTACGATGCTAACTTTCCTAATGTTACTCATACATCAAAAACTAAAAACATAAATAATCCTTGGGTTAACAAAGGTTTCAAAAAATCATCAAAAAACTAAGGAAAAGTTATATATAAAATACCTAAAAACAAAAACTCCTACCAGCGAAAAAAAATACAAAGAATATAAAAATTTATTTGAATAAATCCGGAAAAATTATAAAACGTAAAACGCACTTGGCAAATACTAAAAGAAATAATTGGGAAACAAAAAACATGCTCAAGTTTTTTGCCACACATGCTTAAAATCGATAACAAAATTTTATACAATCCACAAATTATAGCTAATGAGTTTAATAAATATTTTGTTGAAATTGGTCCAACCCTATCAGATAAAATTCTAATTACTAAAACTTCTTTTTATGATTTTTTAGCACCTCTTGATAAAGGCACTTGCTCAGATGAACTATCGTCCGAATTATCCTTTGAAGAGTTTGAAAAAGCTTTTAAAACCTTAAAAAAAATAAAGCAATTGGGCCTGATAAAATAAACGGAAATATAGTTATAGATCGCTATGAACAAAATAAAAATATTCTTTTTAAAATCTACAAAGCATCCATCCATCAAGGAATTTTCCCTGAGCGCTTAAAAATTGCTAAAATTATTCCAATTCACAAAGAAGGCGACAGATTCAATATCAATAATTACCACCCCATCTCTATCCTATCGGTATTCTCCAAAATCCTCGAAAGAATTATGTTTAACAGAGTTAATAATTATTTTTATTACAATAACCTACTATACAATAACCAATTCGGTTTCAAAAAAGATAGTTCAACTGAGCATGCCATTATTCAATTTGTACGCAACAAATCCTTTGAAAAAGCTCAATATACATTAGGTATTTTTATAGATTCTTCAAAAGCATTTGATACGGTCGACCATAATATTTTAATACAAAAAATGAAATATTACGGTTTAAACAATAATACTTTAGCGTGGTTTAAAAGCTATTTAACAAATCGTAAGCAAGTAGTCTATAGAAATAATGACGTTCAAAGTGGATCCTTAAATATAACCTGTGGTGTTCCACAAGGTTCTATTCTTGGACCGCTGCTATTTCTTATATATGTCAATGATCTAAACAAAGCCTCTAACCTGATTAGTATTATTTATGCCGATGACACTAACTTATTTCAATCCCACACTGATGTTTACAAACTTTTCTCAAAAACTAATAATGAACTTATAAACATTTTTAAATGGTTTATAAGTAATAAATTAACGTTAAATACTAACAAGACTAAATGGATTCTTTTTCATTCCTTCTCAAAAAAACGTTCTTTACCAGATATTATGCCTCAAATTTATATTGATGAAACTCTAATAAAAAGAGATTCTGTTATAAGATTCCTAGGTGTTTATCTTGATGAGAATATTACTTGGAAAAACCATATTAACCATATAACCACCAAGGTATCTAAAAATATTGGCATTTTGTATAAAGCCCGACCTTACTTAAGCAAAAAAAGCCTTATGCAGCTCTATTACTCATTCATACACAGCTATATAAACTACCCAAATATTGCATGGGGTAGTACCGAAAAAAGTAAACTACAACGTCTATATCGCCAACAGAAACATGCGATTCGCGTGATTAATTATGTGGATCGCTCTACACATTCAAAGCCTTTCTTTGATGAAATGAAAATACTTAATGTCTACAAACTTAATGTTTTCAATATTTTATGTTTTACTTATATGTGGAAAAACAATTTATCCCTACCTATTTTTAAGACCTTTTTACATTAAAACTTACTAATAAGTACTCACTAAGAAATAAAGATTTGCTAAATGAACCATTTTGTAGAACAAATTTTAATAAATTTTGTATTAATTATAGAGCTCCTTACCTTTGGAATAAAATAGTTCTGCTTAATTTTGATCCTTTTATCCGCTTTTCTGTTTTTAAAAATGAATTAAAAAATTTTATTCTTGCTATGGATGACATTTTAAGTTACTATTAGCTTGAAGTATAAACTTGATTTATGAGATTTATAATATTTATATTAATAAATTTATTTTCTTTAATTTATAACAGATCTATAAAATTTATTATTATGGATTTTTATAACAAGTTTGTGAGAATTATTATTACAGATACGTGATCAATATTATAAATTTATTATTATATATTTTTTATTACGACCGTTTTTGGATTTATATTTTCAGTTTTTATAGTATGATAAAATTGTAAAGATTCTGATGATAAGATCAGTTGATCTTCTTTCAGAAGCCTTGTCTTCTTTGTTCTTGTAAAATATAGTATTTATTTTACGGCAAATGTAAACAGAAAAAAAAAAAAAAAATGAAACAAAGAACTAAAAGAAATAAAAAAAAAAATATTTTATTTTTTAAAGAAGAAATTAGTTGTAAATAGTGAGGATATGGATGTAAACAATAGCAATGTAAATATAGAATCAAATTGTGTAGACACCAATGTAAATATTACTAAAAGTGTTGAAGATACTCATCAAACAATGAAGTTGTTTCTGATATTTCACTGGAAACAGGCAAAGTATTAGATGTTGAAACAATGAACAAGGTATGTAAAAGTTGTTTTCTTAAAGAAAACTTAAAAAAAGAAAACCCATTTGCCTATGAAAAATGGCACAATAAACACAAATGTACTTATAATTATCAAGGAGTAGCTGGTGGTATGGAGCCAGAGGGAGACCGCCGAATATGGAAT